ACTTTGCATGCTTGTGTCTGGTGGTCTGAGCAACTGATTTGAAGGTAACAATATGCAGTGGAATTACAATGGGGAGCTCCTACCATCTTGTCTAGTGAAGCTCTGTACTATCTCCACTGTTTTATCGAAGAATTATTTTCTTATTCCCTATAATGGTTTCAGCAGTCTTTCATTCTTACATCTGGTAATCTGAGCAATGTGGGTGAGGATAGCGATATGTAATGTAACAACCACTGTTGATTCATATTATTTTGTCTTGAGACTCTGTATCACTTTGAACGTTCTTGCTTTGATTTGTTTATGTTTGTGATACTGGTTTACATTTGCTGCTACTGTTCTATTTCTTTGTTCCTCATTTACTACTCTCTTTAAAATAAAAAAAGAAAGAATCTTGTATTATTAGTGGTAGCACAGGAGCAGCAGAATATTGCAGCTCTTAGCAGGAATTCATAATTAAGGCTGTGACACATGATTGGGGATGGCTTTATACCACTTCAGGGTCCTAGAGTCATCCCTAGGAAAGGTGAGGACCGAAGTCTGTGGGACTGCACTGATGAGGAACCCTCATACATAAAGGAAACATAGCTCCACAGACTCAGCTGACCGGGCTCCAAAGGTTTCATCATGAGGATTATCTATGCCGGGTCTCATCCTGTATCCCGATGGTTCGTGACATCCCTGAAGGCCCATGTCCTATAGACAGTGAAGGAGAGGGAGGGAATTCTGAGCCACTTCCACGAATTTCAATAGTCTCCTCGAGCTAAAGCCAATTAATTGTTCTGCGTGCTTTCTGTTTAGAGCTAGACATATTAATACAGATTACTGTCAAACCGAATCTGTAAAAATCATCGAAACAGATCATCCCCCTCATTGACTGCATAATAGATAGTTACATACTTCGCTGCTTCTACACAAACATGAGGCACAATAATAAAAGTGATATTGCATATCCACTGAGAGTCTACAGGCCTCTGAAACTGTCATGAGGGGCGAAGCTGTCTTGACTGGGGAGATGACAGTCTCGCCTCATTGGAAATGGGCCCAGTACCACGTGCTTCCCAAGGAATGCTGTACCACCGGGTGTGTTTTCAGCCCTGCATCAGCCAAACACCTGGGCACCCTGCCCCTCCCCCCCAGGTATGCACTCATCCAAACACCTGGGCACCCTGCCCCCCCAGGTATGCACTCACCCAAACACCTGGGCACCCCATCCCTCCCCCAGGTGTACTCATCCAAACACCTGGGCACCTTGTCCCTCCCCCAGGTGTGTTCTTGCTATGGCAAGCAGAAACACTGAAATGACACCCAGGATTTGGAGGCAGATTTATTTAACTGTGAACAGGCACTAACTAGGAATCCATTGTTCCTCAAAATGTCAGGCCTCAAAGGCCCAGGGAGAGAGGTTGTATGGGGTT